TACGCGGACGACACACACACACACACACACACACACACACACACACATACATCAGCTTGAGCCATTGGCCATCTGTTGCTTGTGAAACGCTTCCAACTCCTCCATCGCCTCAGATGTCATCGGTGCATGCGCCTGAACGACAGCGAGGAAGATGAGTAGATCGAGCGTGGTGGATGGCAACGCCAAAGATCAGATGGACGGATGGAAGGAGTGATGCAAGGTTGCGCAGACAGACACACCCACACAGACAAACACGCACGGTGTCTCTCCCCTGCGTCATCACCACACCTCCTCTGCGACAACTGCGGCCTGCGGCCACGTGACGGCGGCGTCGTTGCTCTGGGGATGCGATTCCAACTTCCACATGGTCAGCGTCTCAAGCTCATTCACAGGCGCCCACGTGCGCTCCTGTGCAGGTGCATGTGTGTGAGTGTGCGAGTGAGTGAGTGAGGTTGAGGACGCAGACAGAAGACAGAGGGTTCAACCGGCACAGAACGCCGTCCGCATGCGCAATACCTCAATGTCGCTCTGTGTTTGTGTCGTAGGCTGCAGATGGAGTGCTTTCATGCCCTTGGGTGGCTGAACCTGACACCCCTTGATGCTGCGTCCACGAAAGGTTGTGCTGAACAAATCACCTGAGCACGCACACGTGCAAGCGAGATCCGTCGTGAACAGAGACACAACGGTGAAGGGGATGGATGGTGAAGCGAAAGGCAAACGGGCTCCACCCGCATGTAAACGTATCTGAAGGCACCAGCACACGCACAAGCCGACGACAAAGGTGGCAAAGGAGGCGGGAGACACGATTCGCGTGCATCTCACACACCTTGGTCACCGTCAGGTTGCGGGTCCTGCTGCACAAGTGGTTCAAAGTACTTCTTGGCGTTGGCTTTGCCAGTCTGCGGTTGCCAGCGCTGGTATGAGAGGCGAAAGAAGAGTGTGGGGGGAGACGCATGCAAGTGCGCGTGTGCACAAACACAGACAGACAGACAGACAGACAGACAGACAGACAGGCAGACAGACAGACAGACAGACACACAGACACAGACACACAGACACAGACACACGCACACGCACACGCACACGCACGCACACACACATGCACAAGTTCTCTCACGTGGTGAATGGTGCATGGCAGGCAGTGCGCCGTCTTGTGCGTCTTGGCCGACGCCTTGGGATGCTCCACGAGTACAATATCCATGGTATGATGCACAGCCTGGCTGGCAGGTTTGGTGCTCGCCTCGCAGTGATGCTTGTCTCTCCCGTGCCTGGCTGCCTGGAACACTGAGCAGCAACGCAACCACAACACCACAACAACAATCGTTTGGAGTGCGCCAAAAACAGCACAAGCGCACAGGTTTTCTGCTGACACACGCACGAAGTCTTGTTGACGTTTGGAGAGTGGTGTAGATTGGTGTCGTGTGATGTTGTGCTGCTGCTGTTGAGAGCGTGAGAGCCAACAGCAAGGGACAACAGCAAAGGACAACAGCAAGGAGTGGCTGTATTCTTCTCTTCCTTTCCCCGCCGTCCTCGTTCCTCTGCCGCAGGATGGCCCTGCTGCCGAGCAAATGGAGCAGCTTCAACCTGCCCACAAAGTAAGCATTCTTGTTTTGTGTGTGTGAGTGAGTGATTGAGTGAGTGAACGAGTGAGTGAGTGTCTGTGTGTGTGTCTGTGATTGAGTGAGTGATTGAGTGAGTGTCTGTGTGTGTGTGTCCGTGATTGATTGAGTGAGTGAGTGAGTGTCTGTGTGTGTGTGTGCTGTAGTTGCTGACCTTGAGCTTCGTTCGCATCTCGCTCATTCCACACCTCTGCTCATACGCCCACAAAACCACCACCCTGTATGACGTGTAGCCGCCGGATATTGCTAGTGGTGTTCATCATACTCCTGCTCTTCTCCATTCACTGGCTCTACACACCACGGACCGTCACCACGCACCAATGGCAAACAGGTACGTACACACGCTGTGCGCTGCTCGCGCGCGTGTATGTGTTGTGTATGTGTGTTGTGTGTGTGTGTGTGTGTGTTGTGGCATTGTAGGCGTTTGTGCGTTCACGCCATCACTGCTCTTGTTGTGGAGTTGAGCGAGATTCCACTCTCCGTCTCCGTCTCTGTCCCTGTCTCCGTCTCTCCATCTCTTCATGCACCAGCCCTCCCCTGTACATGCATGTGACGAATGCAGGGTCCATCGCGACAGACACAACGTGCATCGGTGCATACATACAAGAAGTGCAATCGCACGTAAGATGCACACATGTGTTGTGTGTGCAGCTGTGTGTGCAGCTGTGTGCGTACATTCAACGTTTGTCTCATCATCTCATTGCTCAAACCTTGCGTGCACTGGTTGCAGGTTGACTATCGCCTCATCCCGTTGCAGGGCAGCGATTCCAAGGCAGCCGCATTGCCCGCTCTCATCGGTACACACTCGCGCATGCACATTGAGGCCTTGGCACGACAGAACGACGCGTGTGCTTCACCTGCTTCGCTTGCTTCGCTTGCTT